TGCACGAAACGGGGCTGTCGTCGACGGATATCCTTTACCATGCAACATCAAGATTTCAGACTTTGATTGTGTCCCAGTAAAGTTGTCTGATCAGTACCTAACCACTTTCAGGAATTCATTGTGTTGCTCTACAAACGTGCAGAAAATTACGTGCTCAACGATCATCAACGCCATACTGAATCTGAGGAGGAACAAATCCGAGAATATCGCGAAGCTATTGAGACAATCTATCACTTAAGGAGTGAACGACGACACACCAAGTCACGGATTGTTGAGCAAGTTGCAGGTTGTTTCACTATATCCGTATAAAGAATCTATGATGATTTCTTTTTTTAGTGGAGGAAGCTCCAACACTTGTGCTAGACGAATCCGATGTAGTTGGCGTTGCTTCAGCAGTAGAAGCTCTTAAGCAGGAAGCGGTCCCATCAAGAGATGAGCTCTATGCAATCTATGAAAAAGCTCTAGCTCGACATAAAAACATAGTAATGAAGAGGCAGCAGACTCTACAACAAGAAGACGATGCGACCGAGTCCATCAATACAGCTACGGAAAATTCCGAAGAAGAATTGGTAGAAAATGTGGCCCTGCGAGATAATGCTTGTGCCGCAGCAGCTCAGCCTCAACCATCTTTGATTACCTCTGAAGCAGAGCTCAAACATGTCATCGAAAATCTAAACCCAGTGCCGTTGCCATCGAAAGCTGAAGCCAAAGAGGAGGAAGTTGAAGCTGCAGAAGTGAGAAGCGAACCAAAACTTCGGCCTGTAGTTCCCGTTTCCAAACATAGTGCTGAGCGTAGAAATACCTTAGCAAGTTTACCTACATTGCGGGAAGTGTCTCGGAAAGATGCCATAATCCTTGATAAATTTGACTTTATTGGAGAATTTGAGAAAAGATGCGGAAGAAGAAAATTTGCACAGGGGCAAAAAATGGACCTACCCGTCATTGGTAAACCCCACAAAGCCGATACAATACAAAGCTACCGCAGAAAGGGTCTCTTCGATGATGTTGACTATCGCAGACCTCCTAATCTCCCCTGCTGTAACTCACAAGAAGATGAAGGATTAAGAAGAGCTCACAATATATACACATGTCAGGAGGAAGAAAATCTAGCTGATGCCATGAATAAGGAAGAAGATTTACAGAATAACAACAATTCGTTTGATTCTTACTTGACTGAGAAAATTATAAGAGCGGTTCTAGCTGAAAAGCCAGTAAGTCCAATCTCTCCTAACAGGAGAATGTCGATGATCAGCTGATTGGGGCTTTGATTTGTTCAGATACATAAAGCAAAAATCGGAAAGTTCATAATCCCTGTGATTCATTTCCTAGAAAGGTTGTTGTGCATTTGCGGCATTTTTCTGATTTGCTTGTTGGTTCCATGGATAATCGAGTCATTTGGGAGCTTATGTTTCTATGCAATGAATGTGTTACTAAGGAAAAATTAAATTAAATTTCCTTGCTGAATCATATCTCCTCTTCAGTATATGATTGAGTGTGTCTATCTGTATAAAAATGTAAACAACTTTTGTTTTGTTACACAATAACGTTTCATTATATGAGCAGTTCTAATGACAACTTTTCGACTATTATTTTTGTAAAATGTGA